TTACGACATGTTCCAGCCAGTTAGGATGTTAAGAGGTAAGAGGATATACAGCTATAATAGGGTATCCCCCTACACATTGGAAGAAGCCACAGTGCTAGTATATATTTCATTATAAAAGGCTTGTATACTGGCTGTGTAGAAAGTTTAAGTTTAAGCTATAATTGGATTGTTTTTACAAATTTTAAAATGGCCCCAAGATTAGTTTAAGTATACTGTGGACTTGTTAGTACAGAGTATTTTGTCAAAAATATCTAGGATGAATGTCTTCATCCTGATGTTGTTTAGAAAGTTTGAGCAGATTCCAATCAAAATATGATTTTTAACGAATTTAAGTTGCTCAAAAATTGGGCCAAAGTCCCTGCTGGCCAAATTTTGACAAAAATGTCAAAGAAAAAATTTTCTATTTTTATAATTTTTTTGGATGCATATACTGTACATGTACTTATGTTGTGTAAAAAGTTTGAGCTAGTTTTGATCAAAATTGAATTTTTTAATGAATTTTTAAAGTTGCTCAAAAACCAGGTCAATTCCCTGTACTATAGTACAGTGTCATTGGCCGAAATTTGCCAAAAATGACTAGGAGAGGATCCTGCATTTTTATATTTTTTTCTGATGCATATACATGTACTTATATTGTGTAGAAAGTTTGAGCTGATTTCGATCAAAATTGAATTTTTTATGAATTTTAAAAGTTGCACCAAAAGTTGGCCAATTACCCTGTACTACATGTACATTGTCAACCTGTTTTCATGATATTGGCTATCAGTTTTTTGCCTGCATCTTGCCAATAAAATAGGAATAATCACTTTTTAGTATTATACATGTACATCCTTATTTTTTGCTACAGTCAACTCCCCAAGGCCCGTTATCATAATGGGAGTGTGTGAGAATGAAGTGAGACAAGCTCTCCTGGAAGACTCTGCCTTCTCTCTGCCTCCAATAAGTAAGTGATGCCATAATTCAGTGCATTGAGAGAGAGACTGTGTTTATGTAGAGTCCCACACTTCACTCACAATGCTTAAAGACAATGAAGGAGCCACTGATCATATCCTCTTAAAGAGGACTGGAGAGAATGTCCGCTATTGCATAGTATCTGATATCAAATCAATTGCCGACCAAGTAATAATAATAACGGTTACCATTGTCGTAATAAATATAATAAATTATAATAAATAATTATAATTATAATAAATGATCATCATCATCATTGGTATTATTATTATTATTGATTTTTTAATTGTCAGGATCAACACTGTGTGTTGATGGTAGAGCCAACACAATTAAAGAACAATCGTGCCCTCTCCTCCATCAATCCCATCACTTTATTGTTATTCACTAAGAAGAGCAGCACAATCACCTTCAAGTAAGTGTCCAGGACATTATTAAATACTAAAATAATAAATAATAAAAATTAATGATAAAATAATAGTAAAAATAATAAAATAATAAAATGTAAAGTAACTACTAATAACACTACAAGTGGCACTTGATTCCATTTCTGTAGGTTCCAAGTATACAAATGCTCATCTGAGACTGTCAGTAAGTATCTTCAGGATTTAAAGCAGATAGAAGATGAATACTCGTCTTGTTTTACTGGTAGGAATAAAATATTATTAGTTTTCATTGAATTCTTGTGCTTTTTGTAGGCAAGATTGAGATTAGTGGCGGGTTGGACAACATTGTCAAACAAGTTAAGAGTGAAATAGCGTGTCAACAGAATATGGTCATATGGGAAGAAGAAGACTGAGTCATTTTTATTTCATCATAATCATCAGAAACAAAATTAATAATTATTATCATCTTTCATTTTTATTCTTTTAGTGTAATGGCTGCTGCTTCAGGCAAAATGCTGCCATCCATATCACGCAAAGTCTGGGACTCTAAATTTTTCATAGAAAGTTACAAT